TATATTTTAAAAAATGACTTCTGTCACATGTAGATGTGATTAGAAACTCTGCAGACAAAAGTCTTACTAAAAATGTACTGGGCTTCCTTTATTCAGCATTTAATTTATATTGGATACTGCCTTATTCAGTCACCGATTTATAACTTAATATTTATACCTTTATTTTGCAGGTCATTGAAAAAAAAAAAAGTTGCTGTCTGCAGCAAACTAACTTGTATTTAAGATTACAGTATACAGCCAGTAACAACCTTTTCACTTTATTTTTCTTTATTCAGGATTTTCTACCTTCCTTTGTAGTTAAAGTAAAGTAATTTTTCATTGCCACTACCCTTTTTCTATAACTTTATTCATTGGAGTGAATTATTATTTCCTTAAGCATCTTCAAAAAGCAGCAAATCCAATCTGAGGGATTCTTAAGAATATGCAAAGTATCTGGCAAAAGGCTCTTTTCATTTTTCTTCTTATCCTGCTTATTTCATAACTGAATTACTGAAGTCTGCAGCTAACATTGTTCAGTTCTTTCTCATCATTCCCCACTTAAAGCACGGTTTTATGTCTTCCTAGTACTAACTTACTTAAATATTTGGCTTCTTTCCAAAGGTATCAAGTTTCATTAGAGAACAGGCACATGAACAGGTTCAGATGATAGTTATTTCTCTAAAGGAAGAGTTTTATTCCAAAGCAGACGCATTGATTGGAGTGTGTCCAGAGGTAACAATTAATTACTAACAAATTTTGTTAAATAATACATGCTGGTTTTTGTTGAAGGCCCAGTTTACACCTGAAGTGTTACTACAGTGAATCACGTACATGATTGTGTTGCTGGATTTGAACTACTTTGTGTTTAGAAATAAGTGCAGGTACTGGCTCAATGAAGAGATCATTTTGGTAACTCAAGCTCATTATTGTTATCTCGTAGTCATTTATGAAATGATATTTCAAATAGCAGAAATGTTTTAAATTGTATGGTCCTTCCTTTTCTCAGCATGATGACTTCATGTTCAGTCGAGTACTGACTTTGGATCTCACCGAGTATCCAGACGCTGATGAGCAGGAAAGAACAGAGCAGAGCAAACGCAGTTCTGTTTCAGAATAAAGCACGGATGATTTCAGGGCCAGGTGACAAGAGCAAGAACTGTGTTCACAGCTGACTGTTACACATCTGAGTTTGAATGTGGCTATTAGAAGTTGACAGAGAAACGTTTACCTTTTAAACTAAGCTGTTTTCTAAAATACTAAAGGAAGTAATTTATTCATGGATCCAGTTTTGTTAACAAGTAGGAGATAGCCAGAGGTTGTTACTGAAGTGTGTACCTTCTGGTATGCAAAGCTTTCTCTTTAAATATCTTTTTCGGGGCAGTTTGCCTTAAGATGAAGGATTCCAGGTTCACATAAGCACACTATTAAGAAGAATAAGCCCCTTGCTTTTCTTATTAGAAGTTATGTGTTCAGCCATTATCTCCAGTGTGCTGTTTAGATGCACACTACTACTGGTCAAGACCTTCACAATCTTTCTCTTTTGTGTTGCAGCTGCATCTCTTTGCCTTCAGATAGATTATTTCCTATTTTTTAAAACAAGGTATTGGAATCTGCCTGTTGTCTTACTTGATGCCCGTAAGATTTCAGTCTTCCACTGCAGCCTGATGAAAATACCAGTTAACTTTACAAAAGCTCATGTTATATAGCTAAAGGCATGATGTAACCTGGAAAAATTTCACCTTTGAGGTATTCTACCCCACACAAAAGTGGAAAGAATAAAACAGGTGCAAGTCAGATGCCTTACAGGAAGCAGCCTTAGAAAAAAATATACTGGTTTGCAGTTATGATTGTTATTACATAGCTGGCCTAGTAAAGTTCAGTTTATTTTGATGGCCATGCTAGATCTAAGAAGCAAAGTTAATGAAGTTGGTTACAGAACTCTGAGAGAGCTTGAATCACTTCATTTGGCTTACGCTTCACATTGGTGTATGTTGAAGAGCTTTATTTGGTTTACGGTTGTTCATAATAATGTTATCTTCTTATGGTCGTGTTGTAGTTTCCTTTTGTCCACCTTGCTTCTTACACATACCTGCCTTGTAATGTGTTGCAAATACTGTGCTTGTTGCACACAACTGACCATGTCTGGATGTGGGGTTACTGCATAAGGAGGGAATGACACATGCGCAGTAGGTAATGTGTTCCTGTGGGAACACTTCAATATCATAAATGTGTCTACTTACACCACAGACAGATGTTTATCAAATACTTATGTTGTTGCCACACTTTATTAAATAAAATTATTTACTCTCAGTGTAAGTCATGAGTTAGCATCAGTCCCTTAATTCCAAATCCACTGGCAGGCACGGAAGTACTTACAGTGGTGTAGAAGATGAATAGAGAGCAGCTTCTAGTGATTTTCAAAGATATCTGTCCCCCATCAGTCTGTCTATTGCAAACACAAGTTTTGCTTTGGTTTGTGGGTTTTTTTAACCATTTGCTAGGAACAGTTGGTTGAAATAGAAAAATACAGTAAAAAGAACTGAACAGTCTGAAGAATGGTGAAAGCTACATGTTTTAGCTACTATGCAGTAATGGTCCTTTTGGCTTTAAATATTAAAAGAATATATGCCATAATCAGAGAGGTGCTGTCAACTTCATTACACAGCTTGAAAACAGGATAAATTGTCAACAAGTTTTGGGGTGGGTTTTGGTTTTTGTTTTTTTTTCCAGTAACTATCTTCCTCCCATTAAAAAACAAAACAAAACACAACATAGAAAAAGAGCGGTGGTAGAATTGGCAAACTTCATTTAACATGACAGTCTGTATGGTTAGTTCATTCATGGTACTTGGGTAGTAATTTGAACAGGATCTTAAACAAATTACTCTTTCACTTAACAGATGGAACAGACAAGTATCAGATTCTGTCCCTTTTGACTGTATTTAAAAGCTGCAAGGCAGTCCTTTCCCTTAAGATGACTATAATATATTCCTTGATTGTGGGGTGGGGGGGTATGAACCAAAACCAAAACTGGTGTTTTCTACCTTCTTACTGTGTATGTCAGGAATTAAAATAACTCCTTAATTACTCATCTGCTTTTCAGGATACAAATAAATGGCACTTGAGTCAAGGGAGGCTGTTGTACAAGTTGCAGTTCAGTGGTGTCTACAAAACAGAAGAATCACCAATGCTAGGTGTAAGCTGATCCTTACCAAAGGAAGGGGATGCAGTGTCCTCATGTGGATCTGACTTCAGGCACAAGATAAGGAGTTATATGACTTTTAGGGTTGGGCTTAAATAATTGCAGTAATCAGGGTCATAAATAGCTCAGCTCATTTGATTAATTTTGCTGCAGCTTGAAGCAACAGCTTAAGTGTTTTAAGCTGATCTATCAGCATCCAAAATAGCATGACTAGTCCCTTTTTCAAAACAGCCAATTCATGCTGACTAGAGAAGGAAATTTTAGAGGTTAGAGTCTTACAGATAATGCTATACATGATGCTAGAAGACATAATTCTCAGAAGTGACGTATGCATAAATAGTCTCTCACAGGGAGAGGATGAGTATGGTCTAGATTCAGGCTGGTTTTCTTCTTATTTTTATCTTTTAAAAAACACAGCTAAAACCTTAAGAACTGATACTTGAGGTCCTTAGCAATTATATTGCATACTAAAACCCAAGTATATCTTCTAGACTGTACATCATTAAAGACAACTGGGTGTTCAGCGGTAGAAGAGTGAGTCAGTGTGCATATATTAAGATTGCTTTTCTAGGCAAATATCTTCAAATCTTTACCTACTTCAGAACAGGGAAAAAGACTTCTACACCACAGAAACTCCACCCATCTCAGTAGTTATTCGCCTAGAAAGAAGCACACACCTCACTTCTAAGCTTTTCATTTGGCACACATACGTACTAGAGAACAAGCAGAAATAGTTTTTGTGACATGGGAGTAAAGAGTTGACAGTCATCTGACAGACCCATCACTTCTGCTCCCTGTAACCTCATTATAGTGTGATGTGATGTCAGAAGGTGTAACAGATCAAATCTAGAGGAAGCCTGACAGAAGCAGCCCTCCAAGACTGAACGTGCTGGTATCAGAACAAAGAACAGTCCTGAACATGCTCTCCTGCAGACATTTTGGTGAGAGACAGCTGACTGGAAAATTTCAAAAGATTATCAGTGTTAGTGACTGGACTGGTAATTATGTCAGTTTAGTGGTGACACAATTCAGTGATAGGTAAAGTAACAGCACCTAAGAAAAAAAAACAGTTAATGCAGTGCCTAACCTTAATCATTTGAGTAGTTCAACTGAAGTCAAACTTAAATGCTAGAAATTGTCTACAAATACATAATTAGCTACCAACTGGTTTTAGTTCTGCTGCATTAAGACTGAGACTGCATACTCTATGATTTAAACTGCTAAAATATTTCCATAGAAATACACTGCAAATAGGTCAGTAAGCCCCCATGTACATATGGTATGTCCTTGTTGATATATCATTATTATTATTACTACATCCTTTTCTCCCCATGTGATCTCACACCTTAACAGAGCGACAAATGAAAACAAATACTCATGCTAAAAGTGTGAAAGAGGCAGGTTATCATGATGCGGGTTCTGTAAATGTGAAACAACGGTTCCTCTTCCTAACAGCTCAGGAATCTGAATGTGAGGCTTGCAAGCAGCCTTTGCTGACAGACCCCTGGGGAGTTCAACCTCCAGCAGCTAACTGCAGTTCAGCTGATGAGAAAATAATTAAAAACCCCTTCATTTTAAAGGCAACTAGCAGATAGTCACAGGTATGCCAAAAATTATTTCAGACAGATTCAAACATCACCTCTATTGTGGCTTCATCTTGGTAAGAGCTTGGTCCAACTGGCTTGAAGCATAGGCAGAGAAAACTTGCACCTGCTTCTCAGTGACCTTGCAGATACAGTTTTAGTAGTATGGAAGTGCCTGAAGAATGACCAGTATGACTCTCAAGCTTTACATACATTACACATTTACAGCTCTAGAAGATGCACAATTTTTATTCCACTTAAAAACATGGAAATACTCAAAACTTTCCATGCAGCAGATGCAAAACACTTACTGTTAAAAAGCTTCTGGGTTTGGGGGTTAATTAAATAGTGGGTATACCATTATCTGATTGCTTGATTCTCTTAGGAGAGTCAGTGCCATTTTCTCCTAACTTCCTTTTAGCACAGTCCACGCATGAAGTTCCTGTAGAGGGGGTGGAAAAAATATTTTTATATTGCTACATACATGTGGTTTGTATTAAGATAAACACAATTGTGGCCCATTGAGGTTCTTGTATTTGGATTCTGAATTATAACACTAACCCTACTCAAAGTCTGCACCAGTTCAGTGATCTTGAGCTCTTTGCCAACACTGAGCCCTGATATTAACATACAAAACAGGAAGTAGCTAATTATACACCTGCCTTTTGATGAAAATAAGTATTGATTTTGTGTGATAATGCCTGTGGAGTTCACAGGTGAGAAGCTTCTTTAAAAAGTTTGGATCCTTTATTCAGAGGAACAAAATTCTTGGCATGAGCTACTGGTGAAAGTATAAACAGCATAGCTGGACAGTAGAAATGAATGGAAGTGAAATGCCTTCAAAATTAGGACATCCATCACTTAAAACTCTAGAGAGATTTTTTTTGTGTGTGTGTGTGTGGTATTATACAAATGTGTGTTAAAGAATAATTTTCTTTTTAAAAAAATTGCTATGTATTCCAAAATACAAGTAAATGAATGGTAAAATTACTTGTAAGGAGGGTGTAAATAAGTTGGTAAAGGAGCTTTACATTAAGTGGAACTGGAATAAATTGCCCTCAAATTTATGTTTTCTCCACTAATCGTACTTTACTGAAAAAGGGATTTACGAACTCATCTGAAAGACAGATAAACTTAAAATCTCTTTGGAATTACAAAAGCAAGCTCTCACTTTACACCTGCCCACAAGTATCTTGGACCACAGATACTTTTTGATTGTGAAAATGTGTTTGGTTTGGTTTTTCTAAATCTGCAAAGCCAAAGACCCTTACATGCAATAATGAAATTATACTTTTATACAATTTTGATACTATTTGCAGCAGCAGCACAAGTATCTTAGAAGTGTAATCTTTAAGTTGAAGTGTTGTTTCAAAGGGAAGTTTTGCTATTTTATACCATAAATTGGAACGTATTATTGCTCTGCTTATTCACCGAAGTATCACAAAAACACCTGAACAAAGCTTAGCCAAAAATTCACCTTCAGTACTACTTGCTTAAGCTTAAGACTCACTCTTCTAAACCTTCTTAAGGAAGGCATTCAAAATAGCCAAATGTATTTTTTGAAATTGAAGCCAAAACCTCATGGATGTTAATATTATCTTAGAATACTCTGATCAGCATAATTTTTTATCTACATTATCTGGAGCTGTTCCAGTCTATCGTTTGTCATTCTACTGACATCTGAAAGCCAGCAGTTATCCGCTAATATGCATAAAGAAATTAAGAGGGTAAAAAGAGAATCTGTTAAGCAGACTGTCAGAGCTAAATCAGAGCACTGCACAATGATGATTTAATTGTAAATAAGAGATTTTTATCTCTCTGATAGATTATGGAACTATCTATGAAAGTAAGAATATTACTTACCCAACAGTGTTGTGCTGTCCACTCGATCAGCATCTAGAGAAGTGTAAGAGACAGCAGCAGCACAAGTTAGCATCCAAAAAGTTTTTATACTTCTATGCAACATCCCAAAACAGCAAGATTGTTTTTAGAATCAGAATGGTTTGGGTCAGAAAAGATCTTTTAAACATCATCTAGTTCCAACCCCCCTGCCATGAGCAGGGACACCTTC